TCTTCTCAGAGGGACTTCAGTATTTTCTGCTCATATACTAGTGTTCCTTTCTTTATGTGTCTATTTAATGTAAGTTGATCTATTTCCTCTAATAAATAAAATGGTAACATCACTTGATTTCATGTTGAAAAGTGATTGATTGTATGTTTAAAACAAAAAGACAAAAAAAAAAAAAAAATCACCATCTTCCCAGGGAAGATTTTTTTTGTCTTTTTGGCTTAAACATACAATTTTGCAGGCACATTTCTGCATAATTTAGCAAATCACTGCCACCTGTTGATCAGTGGAATTGTGTGAAACAGTTGAGAGGAATGTGTAGTGTCCTCGTGCATGAGGGGACCCGCTTATAGAAAAACGGCTTCCTAGCGCTACTAGAGGTCCAAAACTCTACAGGGAACCTTTAACAGTGAGCGTTGCCACTACCCGAGGACCCTGCTGCACATTAGGACATGTTCAGAGCTGCAGCGTGTCACCCACTATGAGTCATTCAGCACACAGTGTCACTTCTCTAGACCTCAGTGGAAAGCAGGACGTCCGCAAGGCAAACAGTGAAGAACGTGCTATTCTAGGAATGAACATGAAAAAGGGGCTGGAATAAATGCTTCTTGTCCTCCAATTTGAAGTTTTCCACCACGTGCTTCACTTTTTCCCCCCCCTTCCTCCACGGGTCATTCTGAACAAGTGATGAAAGTTAAGGAGAATGGATGACTGAACAAGAGGACTACATGAATCATGGGGGGGGGGGGGGGGGGGGGGGGGACATGGTTTGCAAAGAGTGCACTTGAGGCTGGATGTAAGGCAGGGGCTCCTAAATCTATCAGAGCCCCAAGAGAATACCCTCTGAAAATGAGCTCTCTATCTGCGCTACTGCCGCAGCTGGCTGTGAAAGACATCAGTTCAGGCTGAAACTTCATCACTGTCATCGTTTTATTTGCTATGGATCACTGTAAAGTCTGAGATTCTTACATATACATGCAGGGAGGATTTGCTGATGTAAAAAGGTGAATCCAGTTTGAAATTAGCTCATCAGTGTAAACAGAGCCACTATATTCTTCTTTGCTTTGATTTGGTTTCACAAACACAGATTATGCTCCATATTTGCCAAATCATTTCAGACAGATTGTTTGGCTTCTCCTCTTTTCTACCTTTCAGTTATCTTGATTCTAATTTCTAGTTTCAATTTGGCCACACATGATATCCAGATTTGTAGGCCGGTTTTAAAACAAGAAGGACCACCCAGAAGACTTTCAGGCCTCTATCTACTAAGTCGCTCCACACAAACCGATCCAATCGAGCAAAAGACACATTAAAAACTAATCTGATGGCGATGACACACGGTAGTCGTGCAAGGCCTTATTTGCAAAGCAGATGGAAAGCCTTGGCCTGTCCAACATTAATTACAATCACATTCGGGGAGGAAGCCGTCCCTCCTCCAGGGCGGTTAGGACTCTGTGTACGGCTGGAGGAGATGGCAACCTAATCCCCCAGTCACCGCAGAAATCTGAGGGAATCGTCAAAAGATGCACAGGACGCGATTAATCAAAGTGGAGAGCCAGATGTGCAACAACACAGGAGTATAAACCCAAACTGACACAGCACAGGAACACCAAAACCACAGACACACAAACACCACGCAGTCACCATCACGCTCCCACACAGAAGCCAACAGAGGGGGTGCGATATTTGAGACCAAAACTACGGCCTTGTTCTGTCTGAATATCTGGTTTTCATCACTACATGTTGCAACACCAATACTCACGGGACCAATAAGTAGAGGAACATTTGCTTTGCTAATCCTAATTCTCTTCTTTATGTGTGGTACCGAGTGGCTACTAAATGGCTTATAAAGGTGAGGTATACAATATCTGAAGGGCTTCCTGTTTCTAAAGAAGCTAAGGGGGGGGAATGAGACTACATTCTTCAGCAGTGACACTTTCCCACTGTTCTCATGGCTGGATCATGACAATGCCCTTACTTCCCAAGGAGAATGACAATCAATCTGGATTTAAACCTCCTTGTCCAGCAGCGTCTGACTCTGACAGCGCCTCTGTTTATCTTCCGGCGCTCTGTTTAGACTCTCTCGGTAAACACTGGAGCTGCTAATGGAAGGAAGGCCTTTGGGGTTTTATGCTCCAAACTCGTTATGATTAAAGTGTCCCTCTTTATCTCCACTGGAGCTAATTAAAGACAAATCTGCTTGGGTAACACAAACAATGCGACGCAATTTACGCACAGAAACCGCAACTCGCTGCGCTGGAGGTCAACGGCAGGAATAGCCCTATATATACAAATACCAGCGGTGGTGGTTGATGGTTTGCTGAGGATACCGGGTCTATTTTTCCCGCGAAGACATAAATCATGGAGTAGATTGCACAGCAAGACTGACCACAGAATTTCGGTCCTATAAATGAGCCGAGGAGGGCCAATCTACCCGGAGAGAGGATGTGAAACAATAAATTACTGCGACAGAATACATACCTCATCAGTTTTTCTAACCCACAGTGGAGATGAGGGAGCAAGTTCATGATCCATTATTAAATGTGCGTAATGGTGTGTCTATCTAGTGTCCTTCAGTGATGTATGTGGGTCAACTGTGAGCTCCGGGTGTCTTCAACATAACGTCCAATGTTAAAAACAACAAAACATATATTTTAAGAAGAGCAGGAGGCCTAATTCATGCGTCATTAAAAAAAAAAGCATATGCTTATAAATGTACATTAGTTTGTTATATGAGATTCTTCCCATCGACCCTCACTTCAACCTTGCTTGCCAGACACCTGTTCACTCATTATTCAATCTGGCAAAGTGCGATTTTCATAATGTTCTAACAAAGCATCTCACAAACACGCAATTACGCACAAACAATCACTGATAAAATAAATAATTTCAAGTAGCTTACCTAGATTAACGAAGCTCATCACCATATCTGCGTCATTTAGAAAGGCAGTTTCTTGATATGTGGCCAGAAGAGGATTCTGGGTCGTCCGCATGGTCTGATATCGGTCCAGCATGCTTTCCACTTGGCTTTTCTCCTCGCTAGATATGGTGTTGTACAAGTCCAACATGAAAAGTGGAGCGGAGTTGTACTTCCCGTGTGACAGATGCGGTCTCGGTCTGTGCGGCAGCCCGAGGATGGACAGGATCTCCTTCTGCATCTCCCGCTTCTCGTGCGTCCGCAGCCGCCGGTGGATGAAACCCGGGTGCACTTCGTTGTTTCCATCCAGTGAATAATTACTCCCCGCGACCAGGAACGTGCAGTAATAAGCGCTCCACCACAATCCGACCAAGGCGAGCCAGCAGCTGGTCATGGTGTTGTCCCGCGGTGTTCTCCGGAGTCCCAAGTGTGTCTGGCTTGGAGCTTCAGTTGCCTATCCAAATGTAAAATGCGCGTAATGGTAACCAAAGTCCGTCCGAGCGCGTTGTTATCTGTCACAGCCGCAGATCAAAAGCGAGAAAAGACTCGTGTATCAAGCCATTTGAAATACTTTCTAAAGAGAAATGCGCAAAATAGTGTTGGTCCTGCTTTCATTTCTGATTCCAGTAGCGCGCTGTGCTGCTTCAGGATAAAGTGCATGTGAAACTTTATTCTGAGCGCTCCGGTAAGTCGGTCAGAAGACACAGTTTGAAACTAAGTTCACCAATAAAAGAATAACAAGTCCCCTGAAAGAAGCCATTTTGCTTAAGCAGATATGTTTACTCTCCAAAATATAAGATTTCCCAATGTTACGCACTTACAAAAGCCGCACTTTAACAGTTGAAGTAGTCTCAGTGTCGGCCATGTACTCCTAAAGGCTGTGTATGAGAGTCTAACAGGAATCCGCAGGTTGCAGTCCATAATATGCCTGCGCGCGCGTGTACGAACGTGGGTGCGTCTGTGTGTGTGTGTGTGTTATGAAACCGCCCACTCCGTGCGCACTCAGCCAGAGGTGGAGCTCTTCAGCTACAAGGACAAGTCTAACATCATATTTCCATATTTTGTTCGCTGCATAATAACAGCCCGTCTATTCTAATGAAAACATCGACCTTGCATTTGCTCATGATGTTCCTGTTAAATTAGTGTACAGTCTCTGTAATATGACTTCACCATGAGCTTAGTTATTGATCATTTTGTTTAACTTTTGTATGTTATTAGTATTGGGGGTATAACGTCAGGTCGGCCAGCTGCATTTTAGTTTAGTGCAGCAGGCTTTTGCAGAGTAGCGTATGTTCCTAAAGTGTAGTTGTTTGGATAGTTGCGCTTTACATCTTCAATAATTTGCTCGTCGAATCTGAACATGTCGGCACTTTCATGAAACTGTCAAATCTGCTAAAATGAAGCATGGCCTACATCTTTACACTTCCAGAATCAAGGTGTGTGTCTACTCCGTGCAGGCAGAGTAAATGTTGCCCAGTTGAGGCACGACCCCTGACGATGGAGTGGGAAACAGCAAGCAATGAGGCACAGAGCCTACAGAGGAGAGAAGTGGTCTGATCTCCTTTAAACACGATGGAAATAAACGGTCTTAAGTATTCCTAGTAATTGTATAACTTTTAAACATTTCAAATGAAAACCAGATGCATGATGGGGCTGCACCGTCAAGCCACCGCCCTTGTTAAAAGTGAACAAGTCGCACCAAATACTAAAATGCCTGTTGCAAAATGCCATGCTATACTGCAGGTCTATAATCATATAAATAGCTAGAAAGAAAATAATAGCTATGCAAGCTGAATAGGTCTCAAAAACATTCATGTGAACAGATAAAGAATTCTTCACAAATCCCTATTTCCTTCTCTTCCTCCCATCATTCCTTTCACCCTAACCTGTGTTATGTCTTCATGGTCCTCTCAGACTGTGATGGCCCTGGTGATAAGGCCCAAAGGTGTCTATATCTCTGTCTCTCTGCTACTGCTGCTGCCAGAGCCTATCTTATCTGCATGTGAAGAGTGAGAACCTGCATCAAAGCTGCACATACCACCACCAACACACACACAAACACACACACACACTCTCATACAGCTACGTAAAACTGTCAGATTTTTAATTTACATAAGTCTTTTTACAACATGTCAAAAAAGACTATGCTGGCGTTTTTGCACGCTACTGCCCCTTCATTAAAACTTTTGTAGACTTTTATTTAATATTACTGACAACCATTATGAGGGGCACACCATACCAGATGAGATTTTAAAATGTTTCTCCTGTCTACCAAGCAGAAATCCTGTCAATACAGTAAAAAAATAACATGACTTAAAACGTGTTTAAGATAAAAAAAATATAATAAAAATCATGTGTGTGAGCAGACACCAACTGATCAAACTCTAAAATAACAAAACCAGGGCTGAAGACACCATGCAGGGCTAACGGAGAACCGGTGCTCTCAAGAAGGTCATTTATCAGAGATTTTATTGTTTGTTTTTCTTGGACTCAAAATTCCCTAAAGGACAGCTTATTCCTGTTTTGTAACACAGATTTAGTGGTTAATGCGAGTTTGAGAAACAAATAAAAACCCTCTTCTTCCTTGGTGCTTTCCAGTGCTACTGTGACAATCCCGAGATAAACAAGCTGCACACTGTAGGCTGACAATGATTGACAAAAGCACTTAAATACTTCTATATGTCCTTAACATTTTGCTTGACATTAAGCAACCGTGTGTGTGTATCCCTGGAGGCAGAACAGGTGATGTGTATGTGTGTGTGTGTATGCTGGGTGAACTGGAAGCAGAGGGAGGAGGAGGAAACATTAAACAGAGGTTCTGTGTCCTGTCATCACACTGTCTAGACAGGACACCTCCTAGACCTAATGAGGTCTTTGTCTGTCTGCATCTATCTCTTTTAGTCACACACACACACACATACACACACATCTTGGTTTTAGTTCAATCTTCAGTCTTCCTGCGAGACATTTTTATTAAAGAGCATTAAAAAGGTCACGAAAGAGTTCACACAGAGAGAATCTTATGTGTGTTATGTGCTAACACACACACGCCTCCCCAGCACGCAAAATGAAGGGGAAGTGTGCTCCAAAACCATAGGAATGCTTACACCTGGCACATATCTAACTAGAAATGCTGAATCTTCTGCAATAATTATAGTATATTTCTATGGTTACTAGGTCTCACACACACACACACGTACGCGACACATGTCTTATCCCAGTAATCAACTGTTTTTCACTCTAAGTCAAAGGAACAATGGCGAGCTGCTGCAGGTTTTGTGCTTTTGATGCCTTTTTAGTCTTTTGTGTTGGATTACTTTTGTGGTCACAGCGCCTCCTTATAGCCCTGCATCACCCAGCACGTAAAGATAACTCAGTGATTCTCCTCAATGATTTGCTTTGGAGAAAATAAAGTCTATTATAGGTGCAAGACCATATCTTTAAACAACATGAATACTTATGAATAAAAAAATCTGAGTAATAGGCTGATACTCAAATGAGCAATTACAGTGTTTAATCAACTTGGGTTAAACCTGGTTTTGGTGAAGACATAGATAGATGTGTGTCTGTCTTTTGCATCAGGAAAATTAAAGGGATAGTTTGGGTTTTTAAAATGTTTTTAAAGTGGGACTGTATTAGGTAAATCCATTCTCCGTGTATCAGCTGCAGTTGAAGGTGTTCAGCGCGTCATCAGTTTTGGTGAAGCAGAGTTGTACTGGTACAGAAGCTAAGCAATGTACTGATGTGGATAGGGTCAGCTGTAAAACATTAAATAAGGCCCACCGAAAATAGTTCAAGTGTACTAAGTGTGCTATGTGATTAATATTTTCAGTGCTTTACCTTGCCGTCAGACAGACATTTCCTTTAAAACTAAATCTTCTTAACCGTAGAACTACTGAAAAATGTAACTTGGCTGCTCATTGTTTTACACTGCTTAAGATCAGCTGTTTGGTTTAGAAAGTGCTTCAATTTTCAAAAGATTTAAAAGATAAAACGTGCTTGTGTTTTTCAGGGCTGTTCAAACAAAGACATGTCCTGGTCACCATTTAGACTTAGACCATGTTCCTTTGAATGATGTTGGGCTTAGACAGCTGTGACTAGGTGCATTGAATCTAGACATCAACACTCGAAGTGCAACATTGAGACAACTCTGCATTTGCAGTGATCACTTTCCTGAAGATTATAAAAAACACAGATAATAAGACAGACAGAAGGTATACCCTGGTCTCCACAGGGGACAGCACTTCACCGTTGCTCATTTAAAAATGTATTGTATTTGTTGTCTCTTCCAAAAACCCCTGAAAGTCTGACCCAAAAATCTCCAATGGCATAGTATAAAAAGTAGTCCTAAATGAAATGGCTGTCTGACAGCACAGTAAAGAGCTGAAAATATTCTAAATATAGCGTACAGTTGAACGGCTATCTTTTAGGTGGCTATAACATGCTTTGCTGTTGACCCTGACAACGGCAGTACATTGCTGAGCTTCTGTGTGGGTACAACTCTCTGCTTCTCCAAACTGGAGGCACGCAAACCGCCATCTACTGCAGGTAATACACTGACTATGGATAAGTACCTCATACAGTCCCACTTCAAAAATCCAGAGCTGCCCCTTTAATGTCCTCGTCTATACTGAATATGAAGCTTCCTTCCCTCCCAACCATTAAAGCTAGTGGACTGACAGTTGGGAGGAAAATGATACTGTACAACAATTGCAAATCCTGGCCTTAAATTAAACCTTAGACTAACTTCACCTTTGTCTTTCTGGTATTTTAGATGGTATTTCACCAAAAACTCTGATGGTTGCTCACAATTACAACCTTTACCCAATCGAAATAATAATATTTAAATGTAAAAATACAACAGGGTGAAAGAATGAACCATTTTAGCACAACCTGATTGCAGAATGAAGGCTTTGCAGTTGCATTACTTTAAAAAGCCTGTCACTAATAACTAATTTCTGAATTTTAGGAAGTGATGCTTGGCTAGCTAGCTAATATCATTGGTTAGGTAATGAGCTGGCATTCTCATAATCGAAAATTGGATGCATCAAACATTATTTAAAACACAAATTGATCAGGTTTGTTCAGTATGGTTGAAGGGGCAGAGTTCTACTGCATGTTGTTTTCAGTCTGTGGTCTTAAAGCAGTGAACCTCAAACATGGATACAGCAAGATGTGTTAGATCACCTGAAGATCACACTTCACAAAGGCCTCTGCAAACTAAATTGCTAGGAGAATTCTCCTCCTCTTCCTGCTCCGGCAGTGAACCTGGTAGCCCCGTTGACAGCTTCTGATTGGATGACAGGAATTCCATGGTCGATCTCATACTGCATGGCCTGGACACAGAAAGACAGATTAAACCAATTAAAATGACTTTGTTTTGCATATCAGAAAGGTTTTAGTTCATGAACTCAACATGGTGGAAACTTGAGAGGGCAAATATCATGAACAGATTAAACTTCAGAGAAAAAACTGAAAGACCCAAAAGAATCCTGCACAATGTTGCTAAATGCATTCACTTCATTTCATTTACAAGTGAACGACATTGTGTGCAAAGTTTTGGTTCTTTCACAGCCGTTTTAACTGACACAGCTGTCTATAAAACTTTATGGTGTACAAGACCTTTTTAGCAATTGTTACCAACTTAAATAAACAGAAATTGAAAAAACAACAACAACAACAAAAAAAACAGTTTGGGTTACCAACACAGTATGTGACAATATACCACAAACCACAAATGATCTTTCATGCAGAAAACGCTTTATGGACTAAAACACTGCATTGTGGATTTTGGATTCTGTTGTATGCACGTCATATGAATGTGACATGTTGGTATTACAGGTGAGTTATGACAGTGTAAAGCTCCTGCATCAGGTGTACCTGTGTGAAGGAGAGAGCGTCGTAGCAGCTGTGCATGGCAGAGGAGCGATCGGCCCGCAGACACTGCTGAGGGAAGGAGCTGATTTGCTCTGCTAACTCCAGCGCTGCCTGTAAAGCTGTGGATGCAACGTGAAGTCAGTCCAACACAGTGATACAAGTGAACATTATGCATACACTACAAAATGTGGCCATTTATAACATAGGAAATGCATGTGTTAATAACCCTTTCTCTTATTACAAAAACCAAAATCACCAGCCCTTTCACACTGCATTCCCCTGCTGCTATGTCTCTGTGAGATTTACCCATGCCACTCTGCCTCCTCGCCCACATGAAAGCACGGGACCACATCCAGATCAGTCCTATGGAAAAAACTACGCCTCGTGATGCCACGCTTTGATGCCCTGTGTGTGTATATTTGTCGGTGAGCTGCTACTTCTTCACTTCCCTCTGATGTTAAACCCGCGCTAAGTGATCATCCCTCAGAGAGGCCAATTAGGCCGAGGTTTGACTGTGGGAAGAGGAACTTCCTAAAAGAATTAAGCTAGTCTTCTTCTAAGGAGAGGGGGGAGGGAATCAGAGATTCACACATGGAAAGGCTTTTTTGGGATTTAAGGATACGGGAGTGTTCATGCATTAATATAATACAGGAAATACCATGTTGAAATGCGTGCATAGCTAAATCCTCAGACTGCTATTGAATGAGTGAGGAGAGGACAGTGCTAATATTGAGTTATGGCATCAGCGTGATGTTGGAGCCAAATAAAGAAAACAGATTCACTGGAACAAATTTAGATTATATATGATTTTGTCTGATCTTAACTACAAGACAGTTTCTTAAAAACTATGTTTCCTGAATGAAAATGGGCCACAGGCCTGTTTCTCTGTGGTATCTTCACAGTGAATAACGATTTTCACTCCCCCTAACAGACGACTTCCAGCCTCCCACATATCTGGTCTTCACATCTATACCATTTGCCATCAAATGTCCTACAATACTAACTACAGTATACTGTAAACACAACATTAACATCATGAATTTTCAGTTTCCTTCAACTCCAACTTGTCAACATGTTTTGGTTTGTGAGTAGCAAAATTATATTTTATTCCAGCAGGATCTACAAGGGCAGTGTTTTAGCCCGATGACTGCATCATTTTTAAATGATTTAACTTGTGTTTTCACACTGGTCGATTTATATGAAAACATAAAAATAGCCCTTTCTTTTCCAATTCAAACATAAAAGTAAACAAGCCTAAGAATCTGACGAAGCAATGCCAATTTTTAATACCAGGCATTTTTTAATGCTCGATGGACACATTTTGGTCGGTATTTGTGATGTATTGAAGTGTGATACTCAACCCTATCAATGACAAACTGATAAACACAGAATCTATACAAACTCCAATACCTTGGCCATCAGGAACAATTCTGTTAGCCAGTCCATAGGCAAGAGCCTCCTGTGCGCTGATTGGCCGGCCGGTCAGTATCAGGTCCAGGGCTCGTGACAGACCAATGAGACGCGGGAGCCGCACTGTACCTCCGTCAATCAGGGGAACTCCTGAAAGAAAGTCAGATGTTCAGTATAAAATATGTCTCTGTGCCAACTTATACGACTGTGATACAACATGCATTTATACTTTTTTATCCTAAAAGGGCCTCAAATGATTGGTTTATCTATTAATCAATTAGTCTATCGAGAAAGGACTAGAAGACTAGACTTTTTTTAAAGTCTAGTCTAACAGATAAATAGATCAGAGGGAAATTGACAGATTAATTGATAATTGAAATAATTGTTACTTACAGCCATGTCTTACAGATTACAGACTGATTGAAAATATCTCCACCTTCCTGCTGCACTGTTACTCTAACACATCTGGAAATTCCTGTGCCAGTGAATTTTTTTTTCCAGAATAAGGGGAGGGTCTTCTAATATTACCTTGCGGTGTGAAAACAGCCAAAGAAACACTTAAAAAATACATAATATACCGCTGGCATTAATCTGGGTTACAGCTGTCAGGGGAAAACAGTTTTGAAACAATTTTACTCCTTAACTGTTTTCTTTTTGTCAGTATGTGAACACTCAAACTCCTCCATACTCTCAGTCTCACTGGACGCATTTGCATTATTACTGAGTCTACCGGAGAGAAACAGGGATAAGAGGGAAGGGAGGGAGAGAGAGAGAGAGAGACAAGAGGAGAGAGGGAACACTGCAAGGTACAGTAAGCATCTGGAATCTGTCCTAATTTCTAAAGAGCACCAGCTGCAACTGGCATACTTTCTACCGTTGAGCGCTCCCAAGTTCCACGCCACAATCCCGACTCCCTAATTCCTCCAAGTCGCTGATTCTATTTGACTGCCCCTTATTGAGAGCACATGTGTCGGACATGTTTTCATAACCCCAAATCATCATGCTAGCTTTCTGATTTTTTTCTCCCCCTTCTCTCATTCTGTAGGGAGCTGTGGAAATACTGGTATTCGATTCATACTCAGCAAGCTACTCTCTCCTTCATGTCGTTCAAATAAATTAAATTGGAATACATGGAATACCAGTGTGACCAATCCAGGGGCCTGGTTTGGGTTCAGACAGTCAGCACATATGGCGCTCTGACAGGCAGAAGACTGTGATTAGGTGGGGGGAGGGAGGGTGTTACACTGTCTGCAAATACTAGATTTCACTCAATTTTTCAGTCAGCCCCAATTACAGGAATATATTCTACTGAAATGTAAATTACAGACTTTACGTCTGAGCACCCTGAGCCGATGAAATGCAACATAAATGATGCCTGAATTCCTTTTGCTTTAATTATATGAATAGCACAGATCCTTGAAGCGCAGGTGTGTTTCTAGGTGTGTGTGAGGTTCAAGGTCTTTTCTATATTGACTCTCAGACAACAACTGAGAGTGTTTCAGCCAAGGTTTCGCTTTGTGGAGCTTTGTTATGTACCACATTTAACTACACACACTTACATGTAAGGGCATTCCTGTACAAGTATTTCTGTACAGCCGGCACACATACCATTCTATAGTCCACTGGTTCCCAACTTTTAATGTCTGATATACACGCACAGCCCTATCAGATGAACTGACCGATCAGCACCAACCATCGTGTTCCAGATGTGTTCATTTAAATTGATTTTAAACTCACAGTTAACACGATCCATAATATAAAAGTGGATGTATTAATAAAAAAAATACAAATCAACTGTCAATGTTTATGTCAGTCTGGTCAAATTTGGAGGCTGGACCCTGTAATAATTTATCCATTACTTTGAGCTATTTCTAACATTTATCCAGTACTTTCAAGGATTTCTACCATTTATCCTGTACTTTTAGCTATTGCTACCATTTATCCTGTACTTTTAGCCATGACTACCATTTATCCAGTACTTTTAGCAAAATATTTTTACCATTTATCCAGTACTTTTAGCTATTACTACCATTAACCAGTAATTTGTATTACTACCATTTATCCAGTACTTTTAACTATTTCAACTATGTTTTACTTTCAGCTTATTATTTCAAGCATTTTTCCCATTGTTTGTAGCAATTTAAACTACCCTGCTTGCTTGCTAAGACTCTCTATCACAACGCCTATGCTGTGTCTAAATTAATTTTATGTAGTATACTGTGTACACTATGTACTTACTTGCGTAGGTTTTTTTTGAAGGTGAGAAGTATCCTGCGTTCCACACTCAACTTTCTGACTGTTATCAGTACACCATCTGTGCACTGCATTTTGCCACAACTGTCAGTGTGAACACACAATAGCTCTCAAAATAGCTAATGTTCAGGCGTTGTAGCTGACTCAATATTAGATTTTTTTTATTCTTAAATTTAAAAGTTATTGAGCTACTCTACAGTATTTCCATATACCCTCTGGTAGCTGCAGAAGTACCCTCTGTGGTACATGGTTAGGAAAAAGCTCTAGTCCTCAGTGACATAAGATCGATTTGTGCAAAGAGCTTCTCTATTTCGTGTCCAGAACCATCGGTTTTGATTACAGCAAAAGACAGAAAGAAGAAGAGAAAGAAATGACAGAGAGCCAGGATGCTAGCTAGAAAACAGTGAGAGGCATGCAGCGGTAAGAAGAGGTAGAGGAAGACAGTGCCTGACTCTAAGAAGGACAGATAAAGAGCCAGGTTGACCTCCGGTCTGTCTTTGGTGCTGCTGTTGGCACCATCGCTATCAGCAACCGGAAGAATCTCCCTTCTTATCCACTGCACTCGTCTCCAGCACCTCCAACCCTCACTCTCCTCTCTCTGTCTGATAGTCCCGTCTCTGATGTATCCTGTTTGTGGGAATTTACACAGACCTGCGCTTTGTCCCACATGAATGGGAGCGGAGAGGTTGGGAGCACCTCCTTGAAGTAGTTTTAACTCAAAAGGAATGTTTGGCTTGAAAGACGGTTGGTTGATGGCTGGGGCGGAGAGCGGTGGCCTCTGATCCCTTTTTCCAAGTTTCATAGAGGAAAATGCTTGACAGTGATCCTGACACAAGATAATGAGTCAGTGTCTGCAAAACAAAAGTGTGGATTTGTAATCACTGGTCTTTAAATATGAGCTGATCGTTTGGAAAAGAGCACTTGTTCAAAGCAGATAAGCCCATTGTCAAGACACATGCCTTTGGTGTGGTACCATTGGTAGAAGGCAATGTAGATATGGAAGAAACCAATTTTAATACTGTAATGCTGGAATCAGCAAATCAGTTACAGAGTCTGAAGTCGTTGTAGCGTTCACACTACGTGACTGATTGGTGACAGGGGGTCACACACTACACAAGCTGATGATGACTCTGTCACTCGACGCCGGTTTCCAAACCACTTTTTGCCAAGAACTCACACGTGAAATGTGAAATGGGAAATGATGAGAATCTACACATGAAACAGCTGTTGTTTATATTATAAAGATACCAACTATAAAGACAAAGAATATGGGGAAAGAATGGATTAGCACACGCAGGTAGCAGGGATTGTCTGAGCTACAGAGAGAGCTGGAGGTGAGTAACAAGTGTTTTGCGGTGAAAAGTAGCTGCCTGCTCTCATTGGCTGGATGTGGATGTCAAGTCGGCCGACTCTTCCAGATATTTGGCATGCTAGATATCTGGCAGACGTCGGCGATGTGTCAGAAATGTGTCGGGGATCACAGCCCGATGGTCACCGAGCTCGCTGGCAAATTGGGCTTAAAATCGCGTAGTGTGAACTAGGCTTTATATGAGACAGAATACAGTGCAGATGAATTATAGTGCATTAAGCCAATTTGGGCCACATATGAACACTGGAGTGCTTTAGACATAGTTCCTGAAAAGAAACTGGCAAAAACAACCAAAGTCAGCGTTTTGTTACTAGCACGGCAGTGTTACAGTATGAAAACATACAGTCCCCATTTTCAATACGTTAGCGTATACACTGCCCCAGTTTTTCACCTGGTGGTGCTATCAGAGTTTAGCCTAACGTTAGTAGCTCTGACTGGCTGTTTGTAGGAGCTGGGGAAGTTTAGGAGTAGGAGCAGCTTTGGAAAGCAACAGGTACTATGCATTGTGGTTGTAGTAGGTTTTCTACCTACCTCTAGCAAAAGGCAACACCACAGCCCTTTTTCTCTGTTTTTTCTGCTTAAAAAAAATATTCGCCTCTTTCTACTGCATAGACAGCCCAGTTTTATGAGAAGACCATCTTTCCAGTGGTGAAAAATCCCTTTAACAAGGTTAGACATGAGTCAGCAAAGCCTGTTGTTTAATAACTACATATAAGAGGTGGTTGTCTCCCTGCATCATAGGGCCATCACAACTTATCTGAATGACGTTTAGGAGACGTCTGGAGGAAAGAAAAAAACCTTGTATTTTATCTAATTTCTCCAGTGTTGGATATAATGTGTTGGCCTGTGATAACAGAACAGCGCAGCTCTTCCCGAATCGTATCTGAGTCATCACAGACTGTTACATTTAGAAATTTAGGCTTCTGGGTTTTCAGATCCTCAATCAGCATTTGCTGAAAAGACCATTTAACTGGATTTCAGTAAATATTTTCAGCACAATTTATTTGGAATAATATTTGAACAATTTCTAAAGAAATTCTTTACAAATGTAGTACAAAATGTAGATACCAAATTCTTAACTGCTGTAACTTGTACTGATGTTTCAGAATGTCGACTAATGATGCAGGTGCTTTCGGATGGGCTGTTACAGTTAACTACATTGCAAACTGACTTTTTCAAAACCTAAACTATGGATTTTTTATATTTTAGCAGTTGTTCCCTTAACTGTGCTAAAATGGTAACAAAAGCATACAAATTTATGAATTTATAAAGAGGTCACTAGGTACAGTTTTCCCGTAAACAGCAAATGTCGCAGATCACATGTGTTTGCATCTGTACATATTTTTGCTATATTATTATAAGTAACCACATTTCCTTTAAATTTGCAAGCATCTATTCAGTATGTAAAAATCAAACCAGGCAGTAGTTATTTAAGAAAGAAAAACAGAGCTGGGTTCAAACCCACTTGTCAGGTAGTTTTCACACTGCTGAAACGTCCGAATCTCCACCAGCTGAAAGACAGCTGCTC